TTAGATGCTGGGCTGCGTTCTGACTTTGCGACGACGCGCGTCAACAGGCTACAACAGAAATAGCGCTCCAGCATTATAGACGGGAACGTTGCCGACTGCACCGGTCGCTAGCGTTTCTAGAGAGTATAGGAAATTGGAAGGGGAGGCGCTGTCTGATCCCACAGTGCAGTATCGATCAGCGACGGCCGCTGGTATTTTGGGAGGGTGCAGAGGAGCAGGAGGATACCAGAGTGTGTGAGTAGGCAACGCGTGCCCTCCTGATCTCCCATACTCTCTAAAAACCTCAGCGCGGCCGATGCTCATCGATAATCGTCTATGGCTGCTTCCTTGTCTGAGCACATCGAATTTTGGGATCCCCAGGGGGGAATGGGGTCGTATTTACCACTGTGAAAAATCTTTCAGTTGTTGACTTTTTTTCCGATTTTCCATTCTCCGGGGACTCTCCCCACAACAAATTTTTGAGGAAACTTGAAGACTTTCTGGACAAAAACTCAGTGGTAGGAAGGATGTTGAAGAATATAAGGAAGAAGGTAGGTTATTTAAGAGGATGGGAAGGGAGGTACAAATGAGGAAAATCAAGGGAGACATTGGGCTCTGCGAAAGCTCCCTCTACCGCCATTACCCACGGATGTGGAACGATACCGAAAGAATTTTGTTGGGCCCTGAAAGCCGAGCACCAGCTCCGAAACCTAGCTGGCTAGCTATGCGCGCTGTGAGTTAATCAAACCCTGACCGGCTTCCGTCGGTCAATCAGGCCTTACCTTCCGCCGGCTCCTAGCGCCTTTGGCTGTGGTAGGATGTGTGAGTGAGTTGAGGCAGCGTGGGCTGTGTCTGAAGATGGCCTCGAGTATCACTATCCTTCAGTTCGTTTCACGTGCACTTTCGAAAGGAAGCGGATCCATTAATCTCGCATATAGCAAGGACAAGTGTTCACGGAAGCAAGTGGACAGTTCCACAGTTGCATTCAAAGCTAGAGCTGCTTGTAAGAAGCCAGAAGGTACAGGAGCTAAATAGTAGTGGAAAACGGAAAACTTACTTGCAGTAAAAAATGTCGCTAGCTGCTTCTCGGAAACGTTTCGAAAGAAACGCGTAAAGAATCGGATTGATCATGCTCGAGAGAAAGAGAAATATATAGCTCAGCGGTTGCAGCAGTATTGACCAGTCATTGTTGCACTGCGGTGTCGTTGACCACATCTAAAGAACTGCCTTCATTGTTGTAAAAATTATTACTTTCTTGATGACCCTGGTGATCAAAGCTGAGCTTCGGATATTTCACTGAAATATCACCAGCGGAAAAAAGGTGCACGTGCTGTGGGTGTTCGAAAGGGTAATCCGAACACAGGCCGAGCGAGCCCTAGCTGATCTTAGGCGCGAGGTTCAAAGCTGAACCTGATAAAATTCTTTCAAAAAAGAGATTGGTTACAAGATCGTCCGTGTTTGTGCAGGATAGATTGGCTAGGCCGTCAAGGTGAGAATGTACGCTTTCTCGAAGTGAAACCCCAAGCGGGCAAAACATGTTTCGCAGCCGAGAGCTCGCCCAAAGCGACTCAACAAAGCTGAGCCGCTCTCCTACTCCGCCTGAGCTTCCGCGCCGAATTCAGGTGGCTGCT